CTGCTGTAGTGGCACCGGTGCTTTATCCTGAAGGAGGTTTATTTTTTTGCTGTCCTTGGAAGATCACTGCGTCCTGTGCAGTCCTGCAGGGACAAAGCAAAGGGGTTGCCCATCCTGGCTGCTTTCCCGCACGTGGGTTGTGACGCCCAGCACGTCCCTGAGCTTGCCAGCACGGCAGGCGTTATCGGCACACATCCCGACCGCAGCGTTGGGGTCAGCCTCCCGCTTTCCTAGGAAACGGGAAATTCCAGGAAAAGGGAGTTCGGCGAAGCCCCCTGCGTCCCTCCCCGGGGACAGCACAGACGGGGAGTGCGAAGGGAGAAGGAAATGATGCAGCAGAGAGATACGGCGCCCAAAAAACCAGTCTGGCTTCGGAGAAGTGCCTACCGCAGGCACGGTGCCCCCGCCCCCCCAAACCGCTGCACCTGACCACAAGATGCCCTGCTCGATGGCGGCCGGTACCAAGAAAGGGATTTCTCGGTAACCAAAACTGCACACTCAACACGCCACGTGTTCACCCGGTGCCCACGGGCTCCTTCTCGGCAAGAGAGATGCCACGGCAGCATCATGGGGCTGGGTACCCCCTCCGTTGCCAGCTGGGCTTGGGATGCTCAGGATGGGACAGGATGCTCAGGATGTTGCTCCAGCTCAGCCCCCAGCCCAACCAGCATCAGCTCCCACCCCGGAGACTTCACCCGACTGCTCCCCAAAGGATCCTGCACACATAGGAGAAACCCCAGCACAAAGTTGAGCACCCCCCCAAAATCACCCGGGGACACGATGCCCCGTAAAGCTGCATTCCCAAACCCCCAGGACACAGCCGCCACCGTGCCATCACTGCGGCATCGCTGGTCCCAACACCCAGCATGCAAAACCAGCTGTCCTGGGGTGTGACACGGGTGATCTCCAGCTCAGAGGTCTCACGGCAGCAGGATCCAGCCTGGCTCCCCCAAAATCCCTCTCCCTGCAGGGCCTGATAGCTCCGGGCACTGCTGGGGACATCGGGCCACCGATGGGGACAACGGTCCTGTCGGTTGGGGAGGAAGGAGCCACGCCAGCTCTCAGCACCTACTTAAATTTAGTGCTTGAGAGCGGCATCCTCCCACCTGTGGTCTGCTGACCCCCAGTATTTGGATTTTTGTTCTTTGCAGGGCATTTTTCTAGAGTTTAAAAATACGAAGCTTCAGCCAAGCCAGAGCTGTCCCCAGTGTCGGGGGACATGGGGCAAACTGGAAGATGGAGGAAAACACCCCCAGGATGAAACTCCCTCCTGCTCCCTGCTCAGAGCATCCTGCCGGAGCCCATGGCTCGACCCAGGGGGGCACACCCCACTGCACCCCCCCTCCCCCGTGTCCCCTCATCCCCGACCCCGGGGGGGGTCCCTGTGGGGTGTCATGGGGAGTGGTGGTGCGGCACAGGGAGAACCAGCATGGCATGGGGAGTGCCGACACGGCATCCGCAGCCACCGCGCACCTGGGGAGGGCAGGGTGGCCAGGAGAAAGTGGGGTTTGCCGGTATCTGCCAAATATAGGAAGGAGACCAACGCCAGCTCGGCGCTGTGGTCATGCCGGGAGCGCAAGCTGAAGGTCAGGCCAAGGTCACAGCTGCACTCAGGCGTTGCAGGCGTGGAGAGGAGCTGCTGCGTTTCCGTCTCGCAAACCCCCGGTAACAGCTCTCACCGCAGCACCTTCGCCCGCCACTTTCTTTACTACCTGTGCTTACGCAAGGCCAGCATGCGGGTGGCTGCAGTGCCGGCAGGCTGCCGGCACTGCCTTTTGCAGTGATCCCTCCAGCAGCCTTCACAGCACATCTTTCCACTTGCTTTTCTTGCTTTCACGTGCGAGTGGCAGTGGGGAAACCACCGCCCAGGAGGGCTGGCTTGGCACGGCAGGTCCCCCCACACCTCTACATCAAGGATATTTTGGATTTATGTTGGTTTTTTGGAAGCAAAACTCCTCCCAGCCTGCCCACAAGTGCCAGGAAAGCTCTCGCTGTGATGCTCTGAGCTGCTGCTGTAAGGAGTATGACCTGCATGGATGTACAGGGGACACTGCAGATGGTGGGAGAGCTTTTTTCACCCAGGTGAAGAGGAAGGCAGCCAGCTTTCCAAGAACAAGAGCAAAATCACACTGCCATGCTGCCTGCACCCGGGAGAGCCGCGAGCGCCTCTAGGTTTGACCGGCAACAGCACCGCCCATGCACGGGCAGGCTGCTGGCACCCACCACCCACCCAGACACCCCTGGGCTCAGCCGATTTCTGCCAGGTCCCCAAAATGCTGCCACCACCCACAATGCTGGTTTGCACGGGAAGGAGCCGGAGCCACCCACCCTTCCCAGCAGATTTGGCCAGTGCCCAGTCCCCTGCTGGCAAAGGCGGCGGTGGCACAGGGACGACAGTGGTGGCACAGCAATGACAGCAGTGGCATGGTGATGATGGCGGTGGCACAGCAATGACAGTCGTGGCAGGGGGATGATGGTGGTGGCACAGGAACGATGGCAATGAGGGCAGTGGCATGGTGATGATGGCGGTGGCACAGCAATGACAGTCGTGGCAGGGGGATGATGGTGGTGGCACAGGAACGATGGC